ATTTGAATTAACTGTTTTTTGCATTTATAAAAAAATGAAACTATTTTGAATTCACATAACTTTTTATCGGTTGTAAATAGTAAAACGTTTGTTTACAACTTTTCATAAGGTTTCCCTGGCATCATCACGTGAGGTACAAAATGGCTTCCTTCTCTCATGTGTGTAGAACGAATTTTAATACTTAGACTCAAGTCTAAACGTTTTATTTATATATTAATATATTTAACAGTTCATTTATAAATTATTTTATTAAGTTTGCAACTGCTGAATCACTTGCTTGTAGATTAGTATTGTTACAGATTCTCGTGTGATTACGTTTTTAAAATTAATTTCTGTTAGCTCAGTTTTTGTATCCCACTTGATGATGATGCCAAGTAAACGTGGTGAAAAGTTGTGAACAGCCGACAGAAACTTGTGTGAATTTCAAATAACATAGTTATTTCTAATATTTAATTCATGAAACTATTTTGTATGTTGAAAATACCTACCATCTTGATAGTGGTGGATTATCACATATATACTTATTTCCAGTCTCAAATTATGTAGAAATTAAAGCATATTTTTCGTAACGCCATTACCTCCCGTCTGAACATTACGTGACCTGTGTTGAAGATTTCATAGAAAAGCTTTATTAAAACTTCGTTTGAAATAAGTAAGAGCCGCCATCATGACCACAACCAATTTCCCATGGGCGACCACTAGTTTCCAATAAGTAAGAGCCACCATCATGACCACAACCAATTTCCCATGGGCGACCATTAGTTTCCAATAAGTAAGAGCCACCATCATGACCACAACCAATTTCCCATGGGCGACCATTAGTTTCAGATAAGTAAGAGCCACCATCATGACCACAACCAATTTCCCATGGGCGACCATTAGTTTCAGATAAGTAAGAATCGCCATCATAACCACAACCGATTTCCCATGATCGGCCACCAGCTCTGGATGCATCATGTGAATGGTCTTTCACCTCTTATTACTCACGAAGTTCAACCCTATCACAAAGAAGGCTTTGGCTGCTGTTTTTTTTTTAAAAGATATCATTTAATCCTTAGAAATGGTAATCTTCTGTAAAGACAAGGGCTGATTTCACCACACAGCAGCAGCAGGTGAGCTACGGAACTCTTTTGAACAGCACTGTAGAAAGGAAAATTGTGTTGTATTCAATACTTAGCTCTGCTTCCTGGCGCTCATAAATCAAGAGATTGGCAAATAAAGATGAAGACGTTTTGAAGCGGACGGCCTTGGGCTCGCGAGTGTTTGACTCTACAGGTGGTTAATAACAAGATCATTCTAAACATATAGGTTGTGCTTATTAGTTAAGTCTCCTTGGTTTCTTCATTGGGCTCAAAGTACTCTTAATCCCACATCAAAACGAAACCGACTGAACTACATACAAAGCTACACTGGAGAATTGATTGTACATGATTTACCAGAAGTTCAGCTCAAGGTTAGAAAGAAACTTGGGAAGTCGTGATGTTTCGTGATCTTATCAGCTATCATTAAACTTGTGAAAGCTTCGTTTGCTTCACGCCCACCAGGTGTCGCAGTTTTGTAGTATTTACTTTGTGAGATTCGAAGCTGACTTTTTAGTCGTGATGATCTCATCAGAATGGTTCATGTAATTTTACATTAATATATAAATAAAATCATCACATTTATTATGCGTTAAGTTTTATCTTTTTTTTAAGAATTTGACATTTTGTGTATATTAAAAAGATGTCAACACTTTCGCGAATTTCCTCACTAAGACTAGTTGTGTATTTTTATTGATTTACTTCTGCTTAACTCATAAGTTGCATAGTTCCAAGTGCCGAATAGAGTTTAATAATTATTAAATAAAATTAGAAAGAACAAAATCTCCAACACAAAAATGTTTTTATTTTATTTTTTGTCCCACTTTCTTTCAGTCTTCGTGGGTAATTGTAGATTGATAGAAACGTTGTTAACGAAAATTTATTAGGCATGCAAAGTAAGAGCAAGTTATGGTACCTGAAAAAGGCCTGGGGATGATTTTTTAGTAATTCTTCAAGACTATTGATCAGTTTCAATGAAAGGTGATTAGTTTAGATTCAAACTAAAGTTTTCACCAGAACAATGAATAATGACGGATTTAATGTCAACCAGTTAGAAGTCCGGACCTAGTACACCTTGTGAGAAGGGCCAATTAGAAAGGGGAGCAGGAGGGCCGTTTGGTCTTGGCCTCAAGCTCAAAGAGGGCCTCAAATTTAGACACGTGTTATTGTTTTGATTTTTTTAAGTTTCGCGACTTGTATTTATATCGGACCAGAATATGACACACACTTTCAGCTTAGATTTGCAAATTATATATACAAATTATGTTTCACTTTTCTTTTGGGCTTATTTTGTTTTCATTTGTTATAATTTATTTTGTTATTACAGCCAAGGGCCTCAAAAGATAGAAGTGGCCCGGGCTTCACTGAAAGGGCCTGCGTGTGACGTCAGTAAACCACATATTTGTTGTTTTTTAACTTGGCGGTTATAGTGTTTTTGATGTTGATTTTTCTTTCTTGGGAAAGCAATATTTGTTAACTTGTTTCTTGTAGTTTGGTGAAATAGATGTAACCAAAGTTAGGCATTTAGTATCGAGAGTTTTTAATTCAGTTTATTTTCCCTCATCCTTCTAGAAACCATTTCCTGTGACGACCACTCACTAGTTACCATGGAAACTATCAACAGATCAAGATTATTGTCACTTCAGAGGATAAAAGAAGCGTCTATGTAAGTGACCGATTTTACTGTGTTAAGTATCAGGAGAGCATGATGATTGTGTTAGTGTAAAAAGAAATTAATAACTGTCTTGTAGATTACTGGTTTAATATGGGATTTCTTGGTGAGTTATTTTTATTCTAGTTCATCTGTCAGTTATATCTATTTCAAGTGTAATAAAGGTGATTATTTAGGTACATTTGTTTCTAGTCTAGCTTACTTTTGATCATAGTTTTTTTTCTTTATTGAACTGGGCTTGTTAATATACCTGTCATCACTTTTCTTCTCTGTCTGTGTCTGGTTTGTTTCTTTCAGATTGATCTGAGCATGTTAGTGTACTGGTGATACGTTTGTCTTCTCTGTAAGTGTACACTAACATACTCAGATCAATCTGAAATAAACAAGTCGGAAAACAATAAACCAGATTGGTGATACGTTTGTCTTCTCTGTAAGTGTCTGGTTTATTGTTTGTTGTTTCTGATAGGTTTCTCTCAGGTTCAAATTGACATGTCTGTTGTATTCTTAATCCAGTTAATGCTCTTTGTTGGTGGTTTAGCTGATGTTCTCCTTATATAAGCACATAGCACAAAAAAGAAAACTGGCGCTAAGATACGTGACACCTTTCCAAAATATACTGTTTAATTTACACAGAAACTTTGCGTGCTAAAACCAATCGACAAAAAGTGTCCTTCAAAGTTTTTGTCAGAACGTTAAGCTACGTTTTGGTCAGAACGTTAAGCTACGTTCCGTAGAATCTCGTCGTGTGTATGAGACACCTACCCGGAAAATAACACCTTCGTATCTCTGTTGTGGTGTAGGAAATGACATTTCATTTCTTCAAGGTTTTAATAAGATCGCAGGATCATCTTTTCTTCAGTAATTTCTTGCTGAAAATGAGTTTAGACTAGCGGATCTGGTGTTCTCTACTAAAGGTTGGGGTCATTTACTTATTTCTTTGTAAGTATTTGCACATACATGAGTCGTCTTGTTTTTCATTGAAGATATCCTTGGAAGATTGTGCATGTAAGAATGTCTCCAACAAGACTGATGAGCTATAAAATGAAGGACGTTATACCACCAATAAGGATAGCTCTATCAAAACTGAGCAGGAATTGTGTAGATGGTGCCAAGACGTTCAAAGTATGCATGACTAGGATCCTGTAATTAAAATGCGTATCCGTCTCTGATTCACGTGGGCCGTGGGTGAGAGGCCAAGATACACACGTCCCCACGTTGGTGACCATCGCTCAATACTTTGGTGGGTGTGGCTGTACACGAAATAGGGTGCTGCGTGCAGACGACACACCCTCCCTAACCCCTACAGAGGGGAAATCTCTACCTAGCGACACGCCTGGTTCGGCTAGAGGCCAAAGGTCAGAGGTCAGCAGCGATTCTGGCTGAAGGCCAAGTCCGTCCTAAGCTACGACCAAATTGCCTAGGTTTATGTTTTATAAGCCACCTACTTATCTAGTTCCCGGAACTTTCAATCTATTTGAATACTACTACTTTCCACAAGTATTAACAAACGGGTGTATTCATGACGTATTATGAATTGCCAATAATTCTATCGATAAACAATAAGAAATTTAAATTTTCTTTTTTATTTTACAGATATTTTGGGTTAAAAAGATGAGCGTGCAAATGGTTTGTAAGATTACAAAATACTTGAATTGTCTAGTGATTTATAAAAATCATGATATTGAAAGATTTCCTTCAGTTCTTCTTTCAATATTGAGATCTAGAAAGTATGTATTACTGTGTTTAAATATTAAGATCTAGAAAGTCTGTTATTTTCTTTTTTAAATATTCAGATCTAGAAAGTCTAGTAATATCTTTTTTTAAATATTAAGATCTAGAAAGTCTGTTAATTTCTTTTATACAGATTGAGTTCTTCATTATCTTGTTTTAAATACATTGAACTGCAAGAAAACTCATTTTAGTTCGTTTATACAAGTCGAGATATTAGAAATACTTTATTCAGTCTTTACAGGACATAGGAATTGGAATTTCTCTGGAAACTTGAATGTTAAAAAATATATGTGACATCTTTGAATGTCGAGAATACAAGAAAAACAAAGCAGCCAAAAATAACCTTGACATCCTTCTGGTAATGTCACTGAAAGAGATAACTAACTTTATGGTGTAAAGGAGATAGACATATACTTTGCATGACAAGAATAAGCAAGTAAAATAATAAGATAACAAGAAATACATTTTCGCATGCAAGCACTTGGTTGTCTGTCCACCTGACATTAAGAACCTTGAAACAAACCTGATATTTTGTGATTGTTGGATTCCTTCTTATATTACAATATCTGTTTACATAAAATCTTCAATGTTCTGTTCCAAGGTGAGAGACGTTCAGTCTTCCCCTTGTCAACATTTGATTTCGTTGACCTAAATTTGATTACACAGCTACCGTCAGATTTCTTACTTATATGGTAGAAGTTCGCAATTAAAAGTAAACTATGAATTAGATATATTTTAATATATAAGCTCAATATTCAGGAATAAAGGGGTAATGCACACGCTGATAGGTAAGGAACATCACTCGTCATTAAATATAACATTGTTGTTGAAGTAGAACACTTTACCGTAGTAAGTAGAGTTGAGGATTGGAGATGATCTTGATCAGAGAAACTATCTCACCGTCTTCATTTGTGATTCTGTGTTGTAGCTTTTTGTATAGCCAGGTAGACAACTTTCTACTGGTAGCAAGGAATGTACCAACCAGCAGCGATACAGCTTACCAGTAGAAAAGGAATGTACCAACGCTGTACAGTATTAGTGTCTTACTTCTATCGCGTCATGGTATAATTTTCAAGTTAATTACTGACTTTATGGCCTTGTGTCATTGGTGTTGTGTAAGAGTTATTAGTGTCTTACTTCTGTTCTATTTATATAAAACTCAAACTGCTTAATGGCTCAATCCTGTCGTCTTTTGTAAAGGTCTAGCCAAACCTGGCTTCAAGTGGTTATGTATGAAGTAGACTGAGAAAACTTTAAACAAGTGCTTTGACAAAGAAGGGCCACGTTCATTATCTAACCGCCAAGCAGGCACGAGCCCGCCACGAGGCCATTTAATTCAACTTGCGGTTATTGATTGTGAACGTAGAACAGCGCAATTAGTATGCAGCTTCCACTTCAGACTTCACTATCATTAAGACTCCTTGATTAATGACTAACATAGAACGTTCTCACATCACTGACTCAATTTGTTTTAAAAATTACTGTCGTGACAGGTGCTTGTCCGACACTTTTAAACAACACTCATTTACAGCAAATTATACGCTGTAATAAAGAACTTTTAAAAAGATAATATTGAACTAAAGCTCTACGTCTTCATTAAGAATATATATAACAATTCTATTTCCAGTTCTATATTCAACAGTTCCTCACGTTAACAAAATATTTCTATTAAGGAAAAGAACATGTATAAACCCAGTCAATTATAAACTCATGAAATGAAATCGTTGTGAGTTTAATGGACAAACGAGAAGGTATACACACAGTGGATTTAAAGGACTAACGACAAGACATTCATACTTTGTGAGTTAGTGAACAAACAAGATGACATTCATACTTTATGAGTGTGGTTGACAAACAACTTGACATTCATACTTTATGAGTTTAGTGGACAAACAAGTTGACATTTATACTCTGTGAGTTTAGTGGACAAACAAGATGACATTTCATACTTTGTGAGTGTAGTTGACAAACAAAATGACATTCATACTTTGTGAGTGTAATTGACAAACAAGATGACATTTCATACTTTGTGAGTGTAGTTGACAAACAAAATGACATTCATACTTTGTGAGTTTAGTGAACAAACAAGTTGACTTTCATGCTTTGTGAGTTTAGTGGACAAACAAGTTGACATTCATACTTTATGAGTGTGGTTGACAAACAAGTTGACATTCATACTTTATGAGTCTGGTTGACAAACAAGATGACATTCATACTTTGTAAGTGTGGTGGACAAACAAGTTGAGTAGATGATATTCTTTGATATCAGGTTAATCAGAATATTTATCTTTTCTCAGATCACCCAGTTTTTAGGCGTAGATAACAATTTGTCACATCAGGTTCAACAGCCTATCTAACACTTCTCAGATCACTCAAGTTTGAGTACATTACCTTCTCAAGGACTGTTTCATTCATTAGATACCATTCCTTTAATTAAATAGACTTTCTTTGTTAAAACTGTGAACTGTGTAGTAGACAATATCAGTAGAATAGACTTTGTTAAGACTGAGAACTGTGTAGCAGATAACGTAAGTAGAATAGACTTTGTTAAAATTGAGAACCATGAATTGTGTAGTAGATAATGTCAGTAGAATAGACTTTGTTAAGACTGAGAACTGTTAACTGTGTAGTAGACAATATCAGTAGAATAGACTTTGTTCATACACAGTTAACAGTTTCAACAAAGTATATTCTACTGACATTATCTACTACACAATTCATGGTTCTCAATTTTAACAGAGTCTATTCTACTGACGTTGTCTACTACACAGTTAGCAGTTCTCGGTCTTAACAAAGTCTATTCTACTGACGTTGTCTACTACACAGTTAACAGTTCTCAGTCTTAACAAAGTATATTCTACTGACATTATCTACTACACAATTCATGGTTCTCAATTTTAACAAAGTCTATTCTACTTACGTTATCTGCTACACAGTTCTCAGTCTTCATGTAACATATTTAATCCAGTAATGATAAGCCACATGTAGCTTAGTATTTTCATGCAACATATTTAATCCAGTAATGATAAGCCACATGTAGCTTAGTATTTTCATGTAACATATTTAATCCAGTAATAAAATGCTAAGCTAATTAGTTTGAAAGCATCTCTTTAGGGTGATGTTTTCCTGTTCTCTTGTAGAGCATTGACAAATCACCTACCAAAAAGATCAACTGTAACAGAGCCCTCTGGAGTAAATGGAATTCTACAAAATGGGATCTTAGCACACAGCCGGACATCACACCCAGCGGTGACACCTATGCATGTGACTGTGTCTTCACTATTAAGTTCAGTGAACAGCAGCACTTTTGTGAACGGGTCTTCGGCCTTGGCCCTTTCTCAGACAGACATGTATTCTGAAAGTCTTCGGAGGCGGAAAGTTCACAAATGTGACTTTGAAGGATGTGAAAAAGTTTATACTAAAAGTTCTCACTTGAAGGCGCACAAGAGAACACATACAGGTAAGAACCTTTATACATTGAAACTACCAAATTATCTTGTCTTCAGCTATTTTCATCATCATATACCTGGACTAGTAATAACAACCAGCTTTAACATTCTAAAATATGGGGAAATAAAAATGACATATAAGATAAGTTATCCACTTTTATGTCTAAACCAAACAACTTTTAAAAACAAGAAATATCATTCTCAAAATATACTGATTTTGACATGCTCCTTAACATGACTGAATGAATGTACCTGATGATGACAAAACCTTGTCGAAACGTTGTACATTTGCTTATATTAAAGTTTTTCTTCATTACCCATTCAAGCCGTCTCCAGCCATTATTAGTCTCAAAGTGGGTTCCTCGTCATCGAATTTGAATGAATGTTTATTTTGGGGATAGGCAAACAGTGCACAGGTATTATTGATTTAAGAATTGGTTCTGCAGGCAGCATCAATAGAAAAAATACTGAAAATATAAACAACGTTAATGTAGCAAAACAATAGGTCTTGGAGACAACAACACTGAGAAAACATATTACAACACTAAAGCAGAACTACAGGTTCTAAGATGAACAATGTTAGAGAAAATATCGAAATACAGATAACAGAACTATAGTGAAACAACAGGTTCTAGAATGAAAACACTAGAGAAAATACTGAAATACAGATGGCAACACTGTAACAAAACAACATGTTCTGGACATGACAACCATAGAGAAAATACTGAAATACAGATGGCAACACTGTAACAAAACAACATGTTCTGGACATGACAACCATAGAGAAAATACTGAAATACAGATGGCAACACTGTAACAAAACAACATGTTCTGGACATGACAAAACTAGAAAATACTGAAATACAGATGGCAATACTGTAACAAAACAACATGTTCTGGAGATGACAAAACTAGAGAAAATACTTTAGTTAGAGCTTAGGTGTATAATAGATATTCAAAACTCGACAGTAGCCCATTAAGCCAGAGAAGAAGTCTGTACGATAAATTGAAATAATACTAAAGTAATAAGATAATGAACTATATGTAACAAAAAAGAAAGATAAAATAAGCTATCTTACTGCGACCTAACCGTTAATACGCTCGGACAACCTATCATAGAAGTCAATAAAACCTAAATACCCTTCAAGTAGTTAGTTAAGTTCTAATGGGGGAGTCCCCTATCACGTGGATAACGCACCAAACTTCCATTAACCCCAACAAAAGTAGCCCTTCCCTGAAGATGACAGCAAGTTAGCAGCCGAAATGTAGGATCAAAACTAGTGAGGAATCAGTTATACAAAAGTAACTAATAGTTGACTTAAGTGATCGTAACTATGGCAACATGTTCTAAGTACAAAATATTGGAGCAGCTGAATCTGTTTATATTTTCTTACTGTTTGTTTTACAGATTAGCTCGAAATATCTTCAAAATAAACAAGCGTTGTTAGTGCACGTATAAAACGTGTTATGGAAACTATACATTTTTTTCGAACTTCAAACCTCGTTTTTCTCTTTGCAGAAATAACTTTTTTATGTATTAGTGTATTCAGTAACCACACTGACCGTTGAACAATAAGATCATTGTTTGATTTGAAAGCAACGAAGATAAAAACATTGAAACGGTAGCTGCTTGCATGTGAAACATTTTTATAGAGAAATCTAGGCCGTTTCAAACAACATACACGCATCCTCGCTTTATATATGAGTTTCGGGTTAAATTTAGCCAGTAGTTGGTCACCTGAATTAGGATAGGTTAAAGGAATGCGTTCACCTTTCCGATGAGATGCAAGTCCCATAAAGTCCTAACCGAACACTTGAGGGCACAAAACTGGTCTTACTAGAGAGATACAACAATTCCATCAATAAATCGTGCTGCAGCAATTAAACCAATCAACTACCACAAAACCGAACCACGTGATCAGGATGAGCCACAGTGTCAGTTTCCCTGGTGAACTCTAAGTAATATTTCTCCTTCAATGCTAGAAGCAACAAGGATTTCTGTTTGTTTTGTCTCAGCTTTCTAGCAAGGCCTCTCATCTCTGCCTCCAGGCGATGTAAAATGTAAGGTTTTTTAATGTTTTCTAGTCACGTTTCTAAATGTTCATCTTTAGTCCAGAACTTTAATGTGGAGTTTTCTTCTGTTGTTGATGAATTTTCAATATATATTCACTACCATAAGCTAATGTTAGTTTTGGTTGATTTTTACGTAGAGTTTAAGAACAGTTAAATCATGACACTATAGAGTAAGGAACACGTGGTTACTGAAACAAGACCAGTATATTATAATTGATTTGAACATTGTAAGAAACCAAACATGGAGTAGATCTTAGTGAGAAACATCAACATGAATGATGATTAACCAAACATGAAGTAGGTCTTAGTAAAAAACATCAACATGAATGATGATTAACCAAACATGAAGTAGGTCTT